AACCGAATTTCCTGTGAAACTTCTCTTTTAGTTGTCTCAATGAAGACCTGTCTTTGGGAAACTTGATCAAATCAAGGACTTTACAAAGTTGTTCAATAGTGTTTCTAATCGCAATCGATACACTGGGTTGCACAATGCCGTGCATATCCGCCAGCTCAGACTGGAAACTGCCTTTGGCAAGAATGCGGAGGGTAACCATCACCTGTATTTCAGGTGAGAGGGGCACCGAACGCTGGGTCTCCCGAACCAAACCAGCCTCAACAAGAGATACTAATTTAAAGATAGCATGACGAGGCATTCTATAATCAGTTCATCGTCGTCCAACGTGTCTAACTTACGCGAACGGTCGCGGAAAATCCGGGGGTTTCTGTAAACTTCATTAAGATTATCTTCACAATCAAACCCAAGACCAATGTAGGTTGCCATCTTGAATAAGGTGTAAGTGCGCGCAACCTTAGTTACGACAAGTATATACCTATCTTAGATTATGATCTTAGCTAAGATATCTTAAGTTTTACGATAGTTTCGAAAATTGCCTAAGACAAAGACAGATGCGACTACCCATGAGGTTACGACTATCTTAAGCTAATAGAGCTTCGAAAATCTAGACCGATGACAGAGAGCAATTTTAGCTCAATGAAGATAAGACAAAGGCAATACTGGTTGGTACGAAGCGTCAACTTGAACTGACGAATCATGACACTGTTACTGTAGGTCAGTCAACAATCAAGTTCTCCCCAACAGTGAAAGACCTTGGAGTGTTAATAGATCCACAACTATCAATGGAAGCACAGGTTAGCAGTGTATGTAGAACTTGCTACTACCACCTCAGATGTATTGGCCAGATAAGGCATCTCATTACAATAAGTGCAGCAAAGACTCTTGTTCAATCCTTAGTTCTGTCCAGGTTAGACTATGCAAAATGTCTCATGTGGGGATCAGCTTCAGAGGATACAAAATACGGCAGCACGCATTGTATCAAGAACCTTCAAGGACATCCCACATTACACCAGTTCTGATGTAGCTACATTTGGATGCCGGTGGAATACAGGATATATTTCAAAGTCTTGTGTCTAACCTACCAGTGTTTCTATGGACAGGCACCAACGTGTCTATGCAACCTGATACAGCCCTACAGTCTTGCGCTCTACAAACAAACTGTATTATTATTTATTATTAATGTGCGAATGTTTACTTTCGCGATTTGGTAAGCTGTGTTCTGATTGTTCAATTAAAAGGTTAGCTGACGCGACTTTCTACTAGGGTTTGTTAGACTCAGTATAGCAGTGTAACGAATAATACTGAGCCTAGGTTTACAAAGACTGCCAGCCAGCGAATGTCACTGAAGTAGGAGGTACAATATACAAAGGATTATTACTACTTCTCCATTGTCGACTTTCTATTCATGAATGAACAGTTTTCCAGCATTGCAGTCTTGATGTAATTGTCTGAAGTACGCTCGAGCATGCTCTGTCAAAACATTTCGAAGAACTTCATACGATTCTCTGTAAAAAGTTGTTTTATCATGGTTACAACATGGAAGGCTTCAGTAACAGTATAGCGGCGAACTTTGGAGAAAGCATCCAGATATGACGCATCATTGACAAAAAGGATGCCCAGTGAAATAGTTCGACCTGTACTGTATGTCTCTCTCTTTGTTCGGATGAAACTTGACGTGCATGTGGTTGTAATTGGGCGGGATATACGTATCTACATTCATCTTCTCGCGAACTCCTGGTATAATCACCAATTAGCACTGATTTATAAACAGAATCGCACAATCAATCATGTTTCCAGTAGAGATTGTACCGTATTGTTATGCCAAACTGATTGACAACAACTGTCATGTAAAGTGTCGCTGAAAAGTCACACTTTTGACGAGTTACCCAGGAAGGATCATCACCAAAAGAACAAGGCTAGGCATCCTGAAACAATCTCTGTACAGGAGGGTGCTAACACATATACTGTTAGTTACACGGTGTTTTGAAAGGATGTACGGGACTGTAAGACCCTTGTAAATTCCGTATTTCCTGAGGCGCAGGAAATACGGAATTTACAAGGGTCTTACAGTCCCGTACATCCTTTCAAAACACCGTGTGACGAACTTATAACCCTTAAGATCTTTTTATTTAGGTTATCTTTAAACAGGAACATTCAATCATCGGCAGAATGAGACGCAAAACCTTTCGCCACGATTTTTCCAGAACGGTCATAAAGGGAGAGAATTTGGGATGGCTTAGTTTATGATAAAAATTATCGAATTTGAGGTTTTGTTAAACGACAAGTGAAATACAGAAACATTTTATTTTTTTGGATATAATTATTGACATAAACACTCTGTTTATACTCATAATTGTATACGCCAACTCTAAAATTTCAGAAGCGATCAGCCGTTTGGCAATCACATTCCATCTAAGGTCATCAAGGTCATTCGTACAGCCCGTGTAGTGTGTCACATGACAGATTTGACGGAGTGTACGATTCGTACACCCTGGAAAATCCGCCTGCATGGTTTGTATTCTTTGGTTATTGACCAATCAGAATTCGACAAATTTATCTTGAGGGTAATAAATGGTAGTATGGAGGACTACAGGTATGAAATACGTCTGCACTATCTGTATTCTGTCTTACTCACAATGTAGAATTGTCATTTTACAAATACGAAATAAAACAACTAAAACGGTCAACGTCCTTCGTTTTATTCATGTGCACCAATTCTCACACGTTCGATGTGCACATTGAACGTTGTTGGTGCCGTATCTTCGATGTTTACACATTACTTATAGTAGATTACATGCAGGTCAAGTATAAACATGAGATGTTTAACCTGTTGCTTCTAAAATAACGGACATAAGCTCCCATCCTTGTGGTAAGAGACGAGTCACGCGGATCTTGTGGTAAGCCTCGTTGACTTGGTTGATGCAGGTCATAGTATCAGAACTGCAGTGTGCGAAATACTTTCCCAATATTGCTTGACAGTCGAAATATTTTCCCAATAGTATCAGAACTTTCAAATATTGTGTCGAAATACTTTCCAAATATTGTTGACAACTAACTACTTTACCAAAAAATAATTCACTAGCCCAAAATTTTAATGTAGAAACAAAGCAAAACATTACAAAGAGGTAAAATACTATCATTAATCAGGACATAATCTTGCATGATTTCATAGTGTATTAAACTTAACAAGCCGGAGAGAGTATTATATTTTAAAATGACCCCATGAAAAATCTTAAGCCAGTCGGGACAGTGAGTGTGGAGATGTACTGACCCGACTGGATTTCTACCAGCCACAGGCTAGCGGGCCAGTGGCTATTTCACACACTGGAACTGCACACATCAAAAGCAGGACAAAACCTTTCCATTCAACATCAACAATATACACTGGTAGGGAACTTGGTTACAGTGAGAGTGGAGTCTTTGTGATTTTTGCGAAAGTTCCCTGCCAGTGATATATGGTACTGCCTAATTCAGCATGACTAGTTACACTCAGGCCCATGTAAAATACATCCAAAATGTATTTCAAGGATAGTTATTCAAACTCTGTACTTATATTAATAATAAGTCTTTGAAGTGAATCATCCACCATTTTCCCATGTTAGTCCGAAGAGTGGATTGGGTGGTCCGAATATGACCCAGCTGATTGTGTGTTATCCAGCGGCCACAAGGTTCACGCTATCAAACAATGGGTTGAGACGGGCCATCGTGACACTGTGTCAAACTACACACAAATTGCGTCTGTTCCATTTAAGTAATGAATTGTTTTTGGTCAGAGTGGCAGTTTGTATCGTAATGTTTGTATAACTGATTATGGTTTGGTTTAACGCCACTTTGACTTTTCTAATATTGTTTTTGAGTTCCTGGCTAAAAATTAATCCTACAAAATGTCATACATACACGGCATATGTATTTCACGTTCATTAAAGAACAATTTAGTGAACTAGTGTAGTTTTGAATACACATGTATTTTCGAGAAATACTGCAATAACAGTGAGTGAGTAAGCATTGTTGTTGCCGCTTTTAGCAATATTGCAGCAACATCACGGCGGGGGACACCAGCAATGGGCTTCACACATTGCACCCATGTTGGGAATGGAACCAGGGTCTTCGGCGTGACGAGCGAAACCACTAGGCTGCCCCGACGCCCCACTGCAATAACAAAATGACCCAATTGCAAAAAGCATTAGATTTAATAAAAGAGAGCATTACAACATGAAACAGTTTTCCCACACACAACATTTTGGTAAGATTACAAAACACACTTATGCTGTCCGTTAACAGCCACTTGTGAATTCACTGAAATATATATGAATGACCACAAGAAGGTCAGACTAAAATATTCCCAGAGAATTGAAATATATGCCCAATGTTAAAGATTAAAGTTGACTAGTTACATACAGATATAATATTATTGTTTTGAAACTGTAGAGATAAATAAATTACATTTCCTAAAATTGTTGGAAGCGCACGTACAATCTCCATAGTAAGCCCGCAAGATCGTCAGAAACACCCTCAGTTTGACCCATGAGAGCCGTTATGTCAACAAACGCACGTGCGTATATTTGAATCTCTCACCGTCAATCGCATGATTCTTATCCAAAACTTCACATTAGACAGCAAAATCCTGTTAGCTAAGTTCTTTGTACTTTCAATATGACGATATATATTTTTCATGATTTTTTAAACAATGACATAATGCCATAAACGATTTAAGTACTCGGGATTATTTTTACCAAAGAGCCGCAGTCATTTACGCGCGTTCTGATTGCTTTGTCGTATTTTCGCACATAACAAGCATCGAGAGGGTGACGAGTTTTCTTGCAGGTTACGGAAAGGGGCGAGTGGTGACGAATGACTCCTCAGCTTACTCTCTTCACAGGCGAAATCAGACAGCCCAAGTTAAAGATGTGAGTTCAAATCCTCAAAAGTTAATTAATGTGACATAATTAATAAAAACACATCCTCATAGCATATTCTAAAGTTGAAACATGGAGAAGATATTTGTACAACTGTTTTCTTATTTGGATCTCAACAGTGAAAATGTAAACAGTTTTCGGAAAATTCGATCCAATATTTGATTTCATTAACCATGGAATACGACCATAATAAGACTAATCTTTTGGACGTGAAGATTATAAGGCAAGGAGACCAACTGAAAACGGATATTTACTACAAACCAATGGACACGCATCAAAACCTGCAATTCAATTCGTGTCACCCAAAGTAAATATTCCATTGTGTAATGGGAATAGCGTGTACTATTGTTTCAAGAAATTAAGATTAGAAGAATTAAAGACCTATCATCACGCCATATGGCTGGAATATTGCTGAGTGCGGCGTAAAACTAAACTCACTCCTATCATCAGCCACAGGAATATCAACGAGGAGTTGCTGAAGATGCTGTACATAAAGCAATAACAGGTCTTACAAAAAGAAAAGAAACAAATGGAAAGAAGGGCATTCTTCCATTTGCGTATATCTACAATCCTAATAATTGTAAAATTAATCCCATCATAAGAGCAAATCTAATTTTCCACAAAAGTGATACAATGAAACAAAATTTACCTGTGACTAAACTTATACTTTACAGCCTAAAATTCTAAAACAAATCCTTTGTCCATCTGAATGTTCACACGATATGAATACTGACAGTGTAACAAAATGTCACACAACTCGTGGAATTTGTGTATAATCACACGTTCTCAGGCACAGGTTATAAAGACGTTACACAAGATACATGTCAACCAAATGCCAGTCTCTGTCGTGTTTCAGGGGATGGAGATGAGACACCTTAACTATGATATTATCACCAGCATCCAACAGAGCCAATCCACCAGCATCACTCGGGTACTCCAGGTGAGCTCCGTCGTCGATACCCTCTTTACACTCAGTCACGGCATTCTCAAACAACACGACCTGTGTCTGGCTGGAGGCGCTATAGCGGACAACCTGGTGCTGGAATGTCTGGAGGGCTTGTCATCCTTCCTGTTGTCCTCGATGTAGAACTTGACGTGACTTGTGATGTGGTACACTCCTGCTGCTGGTACTGTGATGGAGCCGTTCTCGTAACGCATTCCATTGTACAGGAGCTTTCTGTCAGAACCATCAGGGTTGGCCCAGTTTCGGAGTGTCGTCAAATTCTTTCCTCGATCTGTAACATGAGAACGTAATGTCCGGACAGAGGTATTCTTTACATTTATGTATGCATCTGTGACAGGTATAGAGATTATTACACGAGGAAATGTGTCATACGACTTATATGAAACGAGTGTGAAATTGTGTATGTTTGAGTGTGAAATTTTGCACGAGTTTCATATAAGTCGTGTGGCACACTTGCGAGTGTAATAATTTCGTTATTGTCTATTTTATTCATGTGCATTTGTGCAGTAAAAACGGTTAGCAAGTGTGACTGCCCTGTTCATTGACGTCACGTCCAATTGTTTAATGACGTCACAGACGATGAAATACAGAATCAATGGTTGCTGAGCAAAAGTGATAGGTGCACATGTGATATATATGACACTGGTTATGTTTCACCATATGGATAATAAAAGATTATATGGTGATCTTCAGGCGGGAAAAATACGTAACTATAACGGTGTCACCTCCAATCACACACACCTGCAGTTTCTTTGTCGAAATCGAGTCCAGAGAAATGAGATATCGGTTTCAGCAAATTAAGTTGTTGCAGGTCAAGATAGTCCTCCCCATCAACATCTATGTCAACAGAACAATGAGCATTAGTAGTCACTTGTCATGTCCGTGTTTTATGTCTATATATGACACACGCCGAGATATTTTTAATAGATTGACCGAATAAACATAATTTACGTAATGTTTGCATCTTTTCCAACGTGTTACCATCAATCTCGTTTGCGGCTGGCTGTATTGTGATATTAATATGATACGGTTGTTGAAAAACTTGAAATTAATATTGTCATTACACATCACAACCTATAATGTTACCATCTTGTAAACGTCAAAAACGGCAGAGCGGACGTAATGAGCAACATGACGTCATAATGTTTGCTGTGACGTCATTTGTGTCTCACGTCAGAATTTCATATTAAGAGTTGGACGGCGGTCAAAATGAATATTTGAATGTCAGACAAAAGTGATATTCTGGACATATTTGTTGTCATATAATTTATGAGCTAGTAAACATAAAATCGTTACTTGTGTCAGTAGAATGGTACCACCTGGATTACCTCGTAAACTCCGTACGCCTAGCATATTTAGTTCATAATAAGTACTTACTACTTTGGTATTATGAAAAAACTAGAAACGGAAATGAATATTTTAATAAAATGAACACCCGATAAATGTCTATGTGAATAAGGTACGAAATGGTTTGAGTTAAAATGAGGGTTAAGTTGTAAATAATTGCAGGTAAAAAGGTTGGTTTAGGTGTCACTTAGAAACGTCCAAAGAAATGCATCAAAAGGAGAACAATGAATGTTAAACTACTGGAAGAAGATAATGCTTGACTGGCATTATAGAAGATGAACGTAAAGAGTTTTCTGGATTTCATCTTCTTTTACTCGGGGCCTGTTCCGGCCCAGTTAACTGTTTATTAGTTTTACCTGATGATGGTACCGGAAGAAGAAAAGAAGATAAAATCCAGAAAACTCTTTATGTTCATCAAGATTACTAAGGATATTAAACTTGATCAAAAAACAAATTTCACAACTTCATACTTTCAGGTACCCTTGGCCTTGAAACATCCACCACTGTCTTCTGGTATATCTAGCATGCAAGAAAGTTTTCGATCATAAAATGCATATTGCATAAGGGCATTTCTCCACATATGAGTGAGTGAGTGAGTTCCGTTTTACGCCGCTTTTAGCAATATTGCAGTAATATCACGGCGGGGAGACCAGAAATGGGCTTTACACATTGTACCCATATGGGGAATCGAACCCGGGTCTTCGGCGTGACGAGATAACGTTTTCACCACCACCCTCGGCACATATGAAGCAGATTATATAACAGTAAACTGCATTACAAAAATAATATGTTATAACAAGTTGCACAGTTCCCTTCTTAACTTACATGCATAATCACATAGTAACAATTCATTCCAGACTACAAGTTACATATCACACTGTTACACGTATGCCCCATCCTTGTGGAACATATTTATACGTCACGACCTCGTTTCTAACAGTAAATGTCAAACCTCCCGCTGTGTCATGCTCGCTATGTCATTACAACAGTATTGATTGGCGTTACGATCTATTGTACCGTGTACACATAATTTTGTATTATATAATGCAATCGATATAACTGGATCACGCTCTGGCTTCAAGTACTGGTGTGCTTAAATGTCAGCTATAATGGTTTGTTGGTTGGTTTGTTGTTTAACGCTGCACTCAGAAATATTCCAGCTATATGGTAGTGGTCTGTAAACAATCGAGTCTGGACCAGACAATCCAGTGATCCACAATATGAGCATCGATCTACACAATTGGGATATGATGACATGTGTCAACCAAGTGAACGAACCTGACTACCCGATCCTGTTAGTCGCCTTTTACGACAGGCATGGGTTGCCGAAGACCAATTCTAACCCGGGGTTCTTCACGGTTACAGCTATAATGGCCTATATTCAATACTATTGTGTCCCATTGACATTGTCATTTCATAACAAATATTCATTGATACGTCATGAACAGTATAAGTATTAATTTAATTAAAGAACACATTATCTATATTTGGTAAACATAACAAAATGGTACTTGGAGTATTTTGCAACCTTCACTAAATTTTAATTACATCCTAGTCATTCATCTATGTGCAATGCATTGCGATAATGCTATTCTTTCTCCGGTTTACATCCATCAAATAGCTTCCAGTAGATTACAATGGTATAGTCATGTATCACCACTTATAACATTGTATATTAACAATTTACAGTGTGTGCTTACTTCCATCAAATCCTTCTCCCAGTTCGTTGATCTCTGTCCATTGTGTAATGGCATCGATAGGTAGACTGATATGGCAACAATGATTAACATTACGGTGAGGATCACGAGAAAACAAATACAAACTTTCGTCCATATTGCTCGTTGGGTCTTTTTGACACAGAGGGGGCATTCTGTAACATAAGTGAAACGTCAATATGTACTCAGTGCTGATGTGAAGGTCATTTGAAGATAAGACAGTACAAATATACCTATATGTCAAAGAGATGACCACAGTTTCATTACCTGAACGGATGGATATTGTTGAAACCACCAGAAGAGATCACCTCATGGCTGCTAAGACCATACCATACTAGATTGAATGAATTTATTGATTTCAGTATCAACATTCCACCGCCAGCCATATGCTACTCCTTAATTGCCCAATGATATTGGGATAGGAGTTGCTCTGTAGTTGTTCCAATCATATCTCAACCAGAGACAACAGACTGTCGTGATAGGTCATGAGAAAGCTGAACCCACCGCCCTCAGATGCGGAGTTCCCCAAGGCTCTTTTCTGGGCCCTGTGTTGTTTGTGATTTATACAAACAGTTTTGGAGAAGTTGCAAGGCAGCACGATATGGACCATCAGCAATATGCCGATGATACGCAGCTTATTGATGGATTTGAACCGACAGACATGCATATCTGAAGCATTGTTGAAAACCACCAACTGCACTACCCAAATAAAATCCTGGATGACAGAGAGCAAATTACAGCTCAATGAAGATAAAACAAAGGCATTACTGGTTGGTACGAAGCGTCAACTTGAACTGACGAATCATGACACTGTTACATTAGGTCAGTCAACAATCAAGTTCTCCCCAACAGTGAAAGATCTTGGAGTGTTAATAGATCCACAACTATCAATGGAAGCACAGGTTTGCAGTCTATGTAGAACTTTATTGCTACTACCACCTCAGAGGTATTGGCCAGATAAGGCATCTCATTATAACAAGTGCAGCAAAGACTCTTGTTCAATCCTTAGTGCTGTCCAGGTTAGACTATGCAAATAGTCTCATGTGGGGGATCAGCGGTGCTTCTCTTCAAAGGCTTCAGAGGATACAAAATACAAAATACGGGAGCACATATTGTATCAAAAACATCAAGGACATCCCACATTACACCAGTTCTGATGGAGCTACATTGGCTGCCGGTGAAAAACAGGATATATTTCAAAGATTTGTGTCTAACCTACCAGTGTTTCTATGGACAGGCACCAACGTATCTATGCAACCTGATACAGCCCTACAGACTTGCGCTCTACAAATAAACTGTATTAGTATTTATTATTAATGTGCGCATGTTAACTTTCGCGATTTGGTAAGCTGTGTTCTGATTGTTCAATTGAAAAGGTTAGCTGACGCGACTTTCTACTAGGGTTTGTTAGACTCAGTATAGCAGTGTAACGAATAATACTGAGCCTAAGTTTACTTATACTGCCAGCCAGCGAATGTCACTGAAGTAGGAGGTCCAATATACAAGGGTTATTACTACTTCTCCATTGTCGACTTTCTCTTCATGAATGAACAGTTTTCCAGCATTGCAGTCTTGATGTAATTGTCTGAAGTACGCTCGAGCATGCTCTGTCAAAACATTTCGAAGAACTTCATACGATTCTCTGTAAAAAGTTGTTTTATCATGGTTACAACATGGAAGGCTTCAGTAACAGTATAGCGGCGGACTTTGGAGAAAGCATCCAGATATGACGCATCATTGACAAAAAGGATGCCCAGTGAAATAGTTCGACCTGTAGTGTATGTCTCTCTCTTTGTTCGGATGTAACTTGACGTGCATGTGGTTGTAATTGGGCGGGATATACGTATCTACATTCATCTTCTCGCGAACTCCTGGTATAATCGACTTATTAGCACTGATTTATAAACAGAATCGCACAATCAAAGGTTTCCAGTAGAGATTGTACCGTATTGTTATGCCAAACTGATTGACAACAACTGTCAAGTAAAGTGTCGCTGAAAGTCACACTTTTGACGAGTTACCCAAGAAGGAGCACCACCATTAAGAACAAAGCATCCTGAAACAATCTCTGTACAGGAGGGTGCTAACACATATACTGTTAGTTACACTGTGTTTTGAAAGGATGTACGGGACTGTAAGACCCTCGTAAATTCCTTATTTCCTGCGCCTCAGGAAATACGGAATTTACAAGGGACTTACAGTCCCGTACACCCTTTCAAAACACCGTGTGACGAATTTATTACCCTTAAGATCTTTTTATTTAGCATATCTTTAAACAGCAACATTCAATCATCGGCAAAATGAGACGCAAAACGTTTCGCCATGATTTTTCCTGAACGGTAAAGGGAGAGAACTCGGGGTGGCTTAGTTTATGATAAAAATTGTCAAATTTGAGGTTTTGTTAAACGACAAGTGAAATACAGAAACATTTATTTTTTTTGATATAATTATTGACATAAACACTCTGTTTATACTCATAATTGTATACGCCAACTTAAACATTTCGAAGCGATCAGCCGTTTGGCAATCACATTCCATCTAAGGTCAAGGTGCATGGTTTGATATGCTTTGGCTATTGACCAATCAGAATTCGACAAATTTATCTTGAGGGTAATAAATGGTAGTATGGAGGACTACAGGTATGAAATACGTCTGCACTGTCTGTATTCTGTCTTACTCACAATGCAGAATTGTTACTTTACAAAAACGAATAAAAACTAAAAAGCTCAACATCCTTCGTTTTATTCATGTGCACGAATTCTCACACGTTCGATGTGCACATTGAACGTTGTTGGTGCCGTATCTTCGATGTTTACGCATTACTTATAGTAGATTACATGCAGGTCAAGTATAGACATGAGATGTTTAACCTGTTGCTTCTAAAATAACGGACATCAGCTCCCATCCTTGTGGTAAGAGACGAGTCACTCGGATCTTGTGGTAAGCCTCGTTGACTTGGTTGATGCAGGTCATAGTATCAGAACTGCAGTGTGCGAAATACTTTCCAAATATTGCTTGACAGTCGAAATACTTTCCAAATATTGCTTGACAGACGAAATACTTTCTAAATATTGCTTGACAGTCGGAATACTTTCCAAATATTGCTTGACAGTCGAAATACTTTCCAAATATTGCTTGACAGTCGGACTAACTATGTCTGAAAGTTACGAGCCCACAAAATAATTCATTAGCCCATTCAAAATTTTAATGTAGAAACAAAGCAAAACATTACAAAGAGGTAAAATACCATCAGTAATCAGGCCATAATCTTGCATGATTTAATAGTGTATTAAACTTAACAAGTCGGAGAGAGTATTATATTTTAAAATGACCCCATGAAAAATCTTAAGCCAGTCGGGACAGTGAGTGTGGAGATGTACTGACCCGACTGGATTTCTACCAGCCATGGGCTAGCGGGCCAGTGGCTATTTCACACACTGGAACTGCAAACATCAAAAGCAGGACAAAACCTTTCCATTCAACATCAACAATATACACTGGTAGGGAACTTGGTCACAGTGAGAGTGGAGTCTTTGTGATTTTTGGGACGGAAACTTTGCGATATGTCACAGAGTTTTGTGATTTTAGCATCACCAAGGGAAGGGTAAGGTACGATGAATGGCCTGTATATTTAGTACTTACAAAATCAATATTACAAGAGATTTACATTCACATTAACTAACATTAGGTTACCATCAGTAACAAGTAAATATATGTTGTTCAGAGAGCTACTGGTAATCATGTAAAACCATTAATTGTCACGAAATTAATACTTTTTGATAAATATTGGGTATATTGTGACAAATGACCCCATAAAAGAGTGTAAAAGTAATACAAAGTGTTCCAATTAGGCGTTATCCCCTGTCATCATAAAGCATGTGCTGTTTTATCAGCGAAAAAAACCGAACATATCAATTTCTCTGAACTGGTTTAATGTCATTACGAAATATATATAACGGAAAATTCCTTCATTGTCATTATCTATGCAACATCTTGACTTGACCAATGAATTACAATTGTGTAAGGTAACATTATGCGGTGATATGGAAAGTCATAACCTAAAATACCAGAAAGTAAAACTATAATTACCATTTCGTCTTGTCAAAACTCATCTCAGTGCAAAGACTATGACACATCGCAAAGATTCCGTCGCAAAAATCACAAAGACTCTACTCTCACTGTAACCAAGTTCCCTGCCAGTGATATATGGTACTGCCTAATTCAGCATGACTAGTTACACTCAGGCCCATATAAATACATCCAAAATGTATTTCAAGGATAGTTATTCAAACTCTGTACTTATATTAATATAGTCTTTGAAGTGAATCATCCACCATTTCCCCATGTTAGTCCCTAGAGTGGATTGGGTGGTCCCAATATGACCCAGCTGATTGTGTGTTATCCAACGGCCGCAAGGTTCATGCTATCAAACAATGGGTTGAGACGGGCCATCGTGACACTGTGTCAACCTACACAGAAAATGCGTCTGTTCCATTTAAGTAATGAATTGTTGTTGGTCAGAGTGACGGTTTGTATCGTAATGTTTGTATAACTCATTATGGTTTGGTTTAACGCCACTTTGACTTTTCTAATACTTGTTTTGAGTTCCTGGCTAAAAATTAATCCTAAAAATGTCATACATACACGGCATATGTATTTCACGTTCATTAAAGAACAATTTAGTGAACTAGTGTAGTTTTGAATACACATGTATTTTCGAGAAACACTGCAATAACAGTGAGTGAGTGAGCATTGTTGTTGCCGCTTTTAGCAATATTGCAGCAACATCACGGCTGAGGACACCAGCAATGGGCTTTACACATTGTACCCATGTGGGGAATCGAACCAGGGTCTTCGGCGTGACGAGCGAAACCACTAGGCTGCCCCGCCGCCCCACTGCAATAACAAAATGACCCAATTGCAAAAAGCATTAAATTTAATAAAAGAGAGCATTACAACATGAAACAGTTTTCACACACACAAAATTTTGGTAAGATTACAAAACACACTTATGCTGTCCGTTAACAGCCACTTGTGAATTCGCTGAAAAATATATGAATGACCACAAGAAGGTCAGACTAATATATTCCCAGAGAATTGAAATATATGCCCAATGTTAAAGATTAAAGTTGACTAGTTACATACAGATATAATATTATTGTTTTGAAACTCGTAGAGATACATAAATTACATTTCCTAAAATTGTTGGAAGCGCACGTACAATCTCCATAGCAAGCCCGCAAGATCGTCAGAAACACCCTCAGTTTGACCCATGAGAGCCGTTATGTCAACAAACGCACGTGCGTGTATTTGAATCTCTCACCGTCAATCGCATGATTCTTATCCAAAACTTCACATTAGACAGCAAAATCCTGTTAGCTAAGTTCTTTGTACTTTCAATATGACGATATACATTTTTCATGATTTTTTATACAATGACATAATGCCATAAACGATTTAAGTACTCGGGATTATTTTTACCAAAGAGCCGCAGTCATTTACGCGCGTTCTGATTGCTTTGTCGTATTTTCGCACATAACAAGCATCGAGAGGGTGACGAGTCTTCTTGCAGGTTACGGAAAGGGGCGAGTGGTGACGAATGACTCCTCAGCTTACTCTCTTCACAGGCGAAATCAGACAGCCCAAGTAAAAGATGTGAGTTCAAACCCACAAAAGTTAATTAATGTGACATAATTAATAAAAACACATCCTCATAGCATATTCTAAAATTGAAACATCGATGGATGAAAATACAGATATACATATTCGTGAAACATGGAGAAGATATTTGTACAACTGTTTTCTTATTTGGATCTCAACAGTGGAAATGTAAACAGTTTTCGGAAAATTCGATCCAATATTTGATTTCATTAACCATCGAATACGACCATAATACGACTAATCGTTTGGACGTGAAGATTAAAAAGCAAGGAGACCAACTGAAAACGGATATTGACTACAAACCAATGGACACGCATCAAAACCTGCAATTCAATTCGTGTCGCCCGCGGCACCCAAAAGTAAATATTCCATTGTGTAATGGGAATAGCGTGTACTATAATTGTTTCAAGAAATTAAGATTAGAAGAATTAAATACCTATCATCACGCCATATAGCTGGAATATTGCTGAGTGCGGCGTAAAACTAAACTCACTCCTATCATCAGCCACAGGAATATCAACGAGGAGTTGCTGAAGATGCTGTATATAAAGCAATAACTCGCAATAGACTCGTGGAATTTGTGTATAATCATACGTTCTCAGGCACAGGTAATAAACACGTTACACAAGATACATGTCAACCAAATGCCAGTCTCTGTCGTGTTTCAGGGGATGGAGATGAGACACCTTAACTATGATATTATCTCCAGCATCCAACTGAGCCAGTCCACCAGCATCACTCGGGTACTCCAGGTGAGCTCCGTCGTTGATACCCTCTTTACACTCAGTCACGGCATTCTCAAACAACACGACCTGTGTCTGGCTGGAGGCGCTATAGCGGACAACCTGGTGCCGGAATGTCTGGAGTGGCTTGTCATCCTTCCTGTTGTCCTCGATGTAGAACTTGACGTGACTTGTGATGTGGTACACTCCTGCTGCTGGTACCGTGATGGAGCCGTTCTCGTAACTCATTCCATTGTACAGGAGCTTTCTGTCAGAACCATCAGGGTTGGCCCAGTTTCGGAGCGTCGTCAAATTCTTTTCTCGATCTGTAACATGAGAACGTAATGTCCAGACAGAAGTATTCTTTACATTTATGTATGCATCTGTGACAGGTATAGAGATTATTACACGAGCAAGTGTGTCATACGACTTATATGAAACGTATGGTCAAATTCATTTCTCGATCTGGAACATATAAGTTATAAACGGTTTAGTTTTGTGAACATGTATATGATTAAATTTTCTGAAACATATTATGTTAAACAACAGTTGAGTATTGGCTCTTTTCTTAAGAACTGATAAAACAGAACATGTCAAACGGATTTAATAGAATACAGATTCGAAAACACAAAGGTAACATCTTAACATCTTCCGGTTAACACAGTGGTAATATTCACAAATGAGTGTTGAGTGTTCTGTTGAACAGCTTCAGAGGTTGATATGATGGCATTGTCTGCAGAATATGGCAAATATATGTCTGCAACACCTGTCATTATAATAATATAAATACTGAAAATTTATTAATCATATTTGCATAAATTGTTTGAAGATATTTGAAGAAATAACATAGATAGGATCACACTTATTTAACACTAACATCTCGCCACAAGTGTTATATATCTTTCTACCTCAAAATTTCCGATGAAATCGACTGCTTATTAACAATAAAAGTAAAATATTTTGTATAAATTAAACGTTTTACTGAATCACACATACCTGAGCAGTACGCCACTTCTACGTACCTGTACTCAGAAAGGGAACTAGGGTTAGGTTAGATTGTTATTTGGTTTGTTATTATTGCTGAGACTGTGCACACATCACGACATAGCTGTTGATGGTTTAGAGATTTAAAAAATATATGATTTAAGTCAATGGAAAACATTTGCTTTTGTGTACATAACAGACAAAGGACTTCTCCTTCCCGATGTAATGTCAGCTTGTATACCGATGTCGATACATTGTTATTATATTTTCACATACAGGAGCCCTTAACTAATTGATATAGACGCTCCAAAAGATATATTGTACCCCTAAGGTTTCAAAAGTATGATTCAATACCTAGGATTGCTTGTGAATGGGACGTTTCTTACTTATGAAAATATGTATAATCAATTAACGATGCCGGTAGCCATGCTTGGCCGTGATTCGAGTAAAACATCTAAAAGATGTTTGAAAAACAAAAACCTAAAAAGCACATTTTGATGCTGAGTGAGTTACCTGCATTCCCCATAGCTTGGTCGAGGTCGAGCCCAGAGAAATGTACAACTGGCTTCAGAAGATTCAGGAACTGTAGGTCAGGAACATCAACGTCATCGGCCTTTTCTGATTAAAGGAAAGAAAAGTCTTGAACCATGTTAAGTTAATATCACATATGTGTAAATAAGTAGACTGTGTTTATAACTAACTGTTATTTGCTGTAATTTCAGGCGATATGCATACAATTGACTACGGTTATAACCAAAGCTATTGACTAAAATTGTTATCCCTTTCAGTTCGTTATTTATAATTGTAGTTCACTGTATTCCTTTGATGATGTCACTGTATTCCTTTGTTGATTTCACTGTATTCCTTTGTTGATTAAAAGACTTTGCGAAGAGGTTCGTGGTTGCTGATCTGTATAAATATGGTAATATGCAAGTGAGCGATTGTGATTGTTGTTGACGCAGTTTTCCAACTAAATCAGGCATCCTGTGCACATTCCACTCAAGGGGAAAACAGTGGTTGAAGTCATGAGCAACCACCTATGCATTAGCGTTCATTTCGGAAATGACGTCATAATATTCATTTATCCTCTCACGTACTCTGGAAATATCAAACGGACTTTAGTGTGCATTATAAGACAATATCAGTGAAACTCATGGAAATATTTTAGAGTACCCGAAGTGATAATTAACAGAACAATGATCACTATAACTTTAGAACAGTTAGAGTTTATTCGCACAGCAGAACAGTTACAGGCGACCCACTGCCTGTGGCAGTGTCTCATTAGTACCAGGAGTAGTGTTAGTGAAAGTAAAGGTGCATTCGTGACCAACTCGTGTTATTCCGGGACAAGCCGAATAGGTTACGGAAAGAGGCGAGTGGTGACGAATGAGTAAAGCTGTTGAAACCAGGAAGTCAGTCGTGTATTGACAGGTCCGGACTGACTTGAGCACATGCAAGCAACATGACTGACCCCTAATGGATATCAGCAATAACTTCGTATATGTGGTTGTGCCCAGGTGATCTCCCATAAGTCGTACTTAAATTAAAGAAATATATTGTCTTACCCAATATTCACAGGACGTCACTAAATGAGTGAATGTTTACTCTTGTCAGAATGAGAGCATGCAGGAAGAAAACATTAATTATCGTAACGTGATTGGTTTGTTGTTTAACACCGCACTCAGCTATATGACGGTGGTCTGTATATAATCAAGTCTGGACCAGACAATCCAGTGATCAACAGCATAAGCATCGATGTACGCAATTGTTATACGATGACATGTGTCAGCCAAGACAGTGAGCCTGACCACCTGATCCCATTAGTCGCCTCTTACGACAAGCATGTGTTGCTGAAGATCAATTCTAACCCGGATCTTCATGATCACGGGTCTATCATAATGTGACTGAAAGTGAACTTGGGGGGAAGGCATGCAAGAATAACATCGTGTTTTTTTCAAGTATGCATCATTCATAATCATTCATAGATTTAACAATTTTATCAATGCAATCATGCGAATGTTTCATTCCACAGTCTAGAAGGAAAAGAAGAAATTAAGGTATGTTGCAAATACAATGTACCGAATTGTTCCCGAAAGTCCATGTTCTCATAAATCATACTGTATACCTACAATAAAGAATTCTTGTGTATACGGTAGCGGGGGTTATCATGTACCACACATGTATCGGCCCAAGTGTTGAAATAGATCACCAATTATACAATTTGAAAACGTCATGGATATGAAAATATCTCTACATGCAAGATACGCCAACACATTTCTGTGATATTATCAGTATGTTACTGCTAATAATGAACACGTGAAAATACTTTGAAAAAAGGGAAATGTGCAATTATCTAAGCCAAAAACATGTAACATAATTAATAAAGTCATGTGAACCAAAATACTAGCTCCTTGAGCATGCACTAATGCGTGGATATGTGCGCTATATAAATATCAAATAATAGTAATAACCTCTTTTAGTCTTGTCTGCACGTTGTTCGGTGTTTGAGTTTGGGTTATTGTAGAAATAACCACTATTCCAACGACGACATTGCCAATCATCAAAACACATGATAAAATCTTTAAAGTTTTCTTCACACTTTGCCACATGTCAGCAAGATCTGAAAAAGAAGATGTATTTTAATAATGGTAAACATTAATCTTTGTGTACATACGTGTGTGTCATTTCGTGAAGGTGTTTTCTAGTTTTCATGCTTGTTTGTTTTTTGACGCCACACTCAGCAATATTGCAGCTGTATGGATGCGGTCTGTAAATAATCGATGGTAGTCCAGACAATCCAGTGATCAACAGCATGAGAACTCTACTTTGCATGAAAAGAAACGCAGAAATGCTTACTAATACAACCAAAAGCCATGGAATTATTTGCAATAAATGTATATCGTAATCGAGAAAGCATGAGAATTCAGCACATTTGATGGTTGATGTAAAATGTAAATATGGCCGCCCATACTAGCCAACTTCCTGATGGAGGCCAGGGATTGTTTGAGGCACATATTATCGTAACCTTTTCAGTCAGTGCCACAAGAGACATTTGTCTCTGACAGGATATGCCATCATTGATTTGTGGGACCTACAAGACGCCTTCTCAAGAGGACACATCTCACAACGTCATCACATATCACATATGACGATGTCGGTGAAAATCGAGCACAAGCGTATGACATGTGTCCTCAAGTTTCATGAATAGTCTCATAATCGACTGCTTAAATTTGCACGTTAACGGCAAGTGGTAATTGATGGTCCTGATATCTGTGTCCAAATTAAGAATTATTGAAAGAATCAAGCGAAACATAGAAAAACAGTAATATGTCCATACTTACAGACACTGAAGGAGAACTCTTCTCATACGCAATAACATTCACATGACGCACGGAAATAGACAGGAGGATTTCCGTGAACGTGATGTGAATATCCGGAAAAATATCATATCGACATATCATAGCGAGGATGTACAGTGAGTGAGTTAGTATGGTTTTACGCCGCTTTAATCAATATTCCAGCAATATCACAGGGGACGCCAGAATTGGGCTTCACATATTGTATCCATGTGGGTAACGGAACGTTTTACCTATGCTACCCAACCGCCCCGAGGACTACAGTCACAGTAACAAAAGACTTGACTTTGTGATAAAGGGGTCTTCTTTATAAAAAATAGACTAACACTTAGTCTCCGAATATATGTAATTTTGATAGTAATAACTCATTTTAATTGAAAAGGAGCCCGAGATGGGAAATGCAGAGCGTGAGAAAATAGACTCATTTAGATTCATTGAGGGTTTTACCATTGCTAGGAAATAATGTGGTTCATGGACTGTGAGAGAGACTATATAAAGTGAGTGAGTGAAATTAGGTTTACGCCGCAATATACCAGCTATATGACGGCGGTTGTAAATAATCGAGTCTGGACCAGACAATCCAGTGATCAACCGCACGGGCATCGATCTACGCAATTGGGGACTCTGCATAGTACTGCGTGTATTTGATTGGCTCATGTAACTCGTGGCGAAACAACTCATGTGTATGTCTCTGTATGGGAGCCCGGGGGGGTTTCAAGAAAGTCACCTGAAATACGCATGAAAGTCAAAGTGTGAAGTTAATACACTTACATTGATCATGAACTCGTTACTTGATGATGTCGTTGCATGGACGATGATGTTTTTTTGTGAGGGTGTTAAGTTGTTCCCCTTAGGTCTACAGCAGGAAAGTGCTGCGGAACGATCACATCCAAAAGTTGATGGATGTGGCAGTCTGTGGCAGTCTGTGATGGAGAAAATGTACACTTAATGGGCTATAAGTATCCACTTGGGATAGTACATGTATATCTTTTACCTGTAATCCACCTCTGTGTGTGTGTGTGTGTGTGTGTGTGTGTGTGTGTGTGTGTGTGTGCACACCCCGTTTTGTCCTGAACGTTTATTAAATGAGCATTGAAACTCTCTTGAAAATGAAGTGCCCCCCCTTCTCAAAAAGCTGTATCCGGCCATATTATGGACTTGTTCAATATCGGGTGAGAGTCATCATTATTCAAATAAGGGTAAATATATTTGTGTAAATCCTTTAGAGGCTGTAAAGAATGTAGAAATTTCATACAAGAATTATTAAACGAATTGTGGTTCATTTGTCATGTAGTGCTACGCTGTAACGACCACAAAGTGTGTATTTCTCAACTGAAGGGCTGTTTCTCTATCACATGACCGACATCTCGTCTGACGAAAAAACTATATATCGTGTATGCTGCACATTATTAGCCAGTGAGTGAGAAACGTTTTACGCCGCAGCGCACTCAGCAATATTCGAGCTATACGGCGGCGGTCTGTAAATAATCGAGTCTGGACCAGACAATCAAGTGATCAACAGCATGAGCATCAATCTACGCAATTGGTATACGATGACATGCGTCAACCAAGTCAGCGAGTATGACCACCCGATCCCGTTAGTCGCATTTTACGACAACTATGGGTTACTGAAGATCAATTCTAACCGGGATCTTCACGGGTCGCACATTTCAAATATTGTGAATTTTTCGCACCGTTCAGTGAACATTGTTTTGCAATGTAGTTACTGAGATCTTCCGTATTCCTGATGAAAATAGAAACCCGAGCAGGAAATTATAATAATAGTCGTAATAAAATATGTTCTTCACTGAACTCAAAACTGAAACTGTTTCAGAATTACACGCACATTTCCGGGTGCGTGCGTGCGTGTGCATGGTGGAGTGTGTGGTGTTGTTTTTGGAGTAGCCATGTTGCCATTCTTGTACATGAGTAAATGTTTGAAGCCCATTTCTTGTGTCCCCGTCGTCATAATACTGGATTAATGTTGTAAGCCGGGGCCGGGAAATCTATCAAGCGAAGACAATTTGAGTACAGTGTTTGCAACATTACATGAGAGTGTTTATTAAAGCTCAGTGCGTGAACGATTGTGATTTTACCAACTTTTAGAAATATTCCAGCAATATCACGACAAGGACACCAGAAATGGCTTCAAATAGATACACACCAATGTTGGGAATCGACATTCCAGATTAATAACATGATGTTTTAATCACACAAAAGTTATAAAAGCACTTCACCATATTGACGTAAACGTGCACACTCACATGCAATTATGCATTCACTCAACCCCTAACGCAATCCTGCATTCACACACATCGTACAATCACGCACTCACATACACAATCACAGGCTTACGCTATGACATTCTTGCACAAACATGTACACGTACATACGCAATGACGTACTCAAGCGCACATACATACACACACTGACACACACACACACACACACATACACACACGTGCACACATACACACACACACAGAGGTACACATATATATACAAAACATGGACTGTGCAACGCTCTTTTAATGTTCGGTTAGCTAACGGCGGGTTAAGGATTTAACCGTCTGTTAAGAGTTAACCGAGTGTTAAGATAACCGAGTTTTGAACAACCGGGCCCAGAGCGATTGTTCAGCTTGGGCAACTGGTACAGATTGGGCGAGCATGTCATGGGGAGTTGTCTCCTTTCAACTATTCAGGGATCACTTCACTCCGCTGAGATGCGAGAGGTGGTGTCCAATACTACAGTTAATGGCTCCCTTTCTGTCGACACAAAATCACATCGAATGGATGGTATGCATGTGTAATGCTTGTGTAGCCGTGTGTATGCAGTTCGGCTCTGGGCTGCTGCTCAAGACGACACAAGGCAATGGTGATGAAATGAATTTTATTATGTGAAGAATGAAGCTGTTGCTGAGGTCAAACCTGAGAAGGGAAAGAATGTTTCCAGCTCAGCAACAGCAAGTGGAGTCGTAAAAATTAAACTCAAGTAAATAATTTTAACAAATTTTAACAATTAATATTAAATAGTTTTAAATATCACAGTAAACACATTATCAATTCAACTACCAGTTATTGCACTCTTGAACAAAAAACCGAAAGCACATGGCTTCAGCCATGTTTACAATTTACATGAATTGTAAAGTAATATATTTAACTAAATTTATATAATTATTAATTAAATATTACTTTTAATGTTATAATATTATTATTGCAATAACATTTTACACCTTTTTATAGGAATTTATAAAGTAAAGAGGCAGATGGAAACAGATTAGAAAAATGGCCATACCTGAGAAGGGAAAGAATGTTTCCAGCTCAGCAACAGCAAGTGGAGTGAGGTGGAAAACAGGTGGCCAAAGGATGTAAGGTCAGAGGACACAATAGCCAATTAGAAAGTAGGTAGCACATCAAAGGAAGTCTTTGATGTGACCTATTAATAGAAAAGGGAAAATCCCAAAGAATGGGTTACCTGGCTAAGAATAGAGAAGAAGTGAAGGGAAATCCTTGTTGACAAGGGTACATGAAACAGAAGGAAAAGGTGAAGATGTACAGAGGCGGCATTCAACGGCAAGACTCGGACAACATGGAACAAATGAACATTTAACATTTGATGATATTTATGAAACATGATGAAATGAATTGTGATGTGATTCAGCGCTAAAATAAAAGCACTGCTACACTTGTAAAGGCGATAATATAAAACGATAGCGTCACTAAAACTAATTATTGGAATTTGTTTGAGAGGCATTTAGAAGTTGTAGCACTAAGGAAGGATAATATGGATGAACTTCTTTATTACAGCGAGAGTTCTAACACTGTTATGAAGCTCAGGCTATACGTTGTTAAATTGTTAACTGGCATCCCTATGCTTTTGCAGTCGTCCATTGTACTATACAGTACGAACTTGTATACATGCCTCTCTATCCTCCCTCTGTTCATCACTTGTGTGATAACGTTGTTATAACCTACTCCGAGGTGTCGCTCTCACTGTAAGTTGTTAATCAATGTATTGTTATCCTTTATTGATTGTTCGAATATTATGCCACTAAATAAGTAACCAACGTGATTCATGTCTTGAAAGAAAAAACCCAGTGAAAATTAATAGAATGACTTGTGCTTTTCAATGCTACACGTCTAAAAGAACATACTGTTTGTGATTGATCGCAATGAATAACATATTCATTATTCAACTGAGGTACATATGCACTATCATATCATGTGTGTGTGTGTGTGTGTGTGTGTGTGTGTGTGTGTGTGTGTGTGTGTGTGTGTGTGTGAACTGATAAACACACACACGGCGGTGGGGTAGCCTAGTAGTTAAAGCGTTCGCTCGTCACGCCGAAGACCAGGGCTCGATTCCCCACATGGGTACAATGTGTGAAGCCCATTTCTGGTGTCCCCCGTCGTGATATTGCTGGAATATTGCTGAAAGCGGCGTAAAACCAAACTCGCTCACTCACTCACTGTTTTGATCAGAGTACGAGCGTGTTTGTTTACAAGCCAGAACCAAGTACACCTGTCACGTGATATGCTTGGTCAACTCCACATGTTGAGACAAGTTGAGTGTGATATACTAACTAAGAGGGCTGTTTGAAAGACTGAGATGTTAGGGAGAGCATGTTACATACCTTGCATGTTATTTCCCGGGATAGGCGTAAACGACGTAAGTACAAGTACGCATGGAGGATCATGAATGGGTACCTCGTAAGGATGGGTAAGCCGCAAGAACTCGGTACGCTTTGTGGCAGCAAGAGTTGTATACTCCCAAGGGAGTTGAGATTGATAATACGATGTGTCGTTGAGATTGACATCCAATGATCGGGGGGAAAATACCAGAGTCTCGAGCATGCACTAGTGCGTGGATATGTGCGCTATAAAAATATCCAATAAAAAAAATCATGGACTCGGAGCATCTCAGCCGCTCTGTTTGTTTGGTGTCATCCAATTAGTCATGCGTCTTAAATAAACATGTCATGGTTGATTGCTCTTATATGAATCCTTAGTAACTCTGTAGGTAAACGTAATGACCCATATTAAACGAAACAAAAAAGAGTTTATTTATTTTTATAACAAGTATAAATATATAAATCATTTCCTTAGCCCTTCTGTTACATGTATAAAACATTTCTTCAATACTTTGGTCACATACTCGGTGACATATCATTGCATTGGCAGAGTGTATTTAGTCTTCTGGTTTTACTGATAGGTAACCCTAGATAGGTGTAAACGGGGCCAGTACCAGTACGCAATCACTCTGTGCATGGAGGACCATGGAGTTGTAGCGTCTCCGCCTCGATCGCCTTTACTGACCCCTGACCTTGTGTTGAAAACGTCACGACTTACATAAGCCAATCAAATACATGCAGTACTATGCAGAGGTAATTTCAAATTTGGTTAGTCAATAATACAGTGTCAGATGGAACAGACCGTCGTTTTAATGCATCAAGTCTTTAATTTGAAAATGAATACTGATGGATCGTTTTTAGTGGACTGCCTTGATGTGTGTCGAAGGGGTGAAAGGAGAACTGTCAAAGTCGTCATCGGTGTGATACTTCTCTTGAACATGATTGCTTTTATTGTTGCAGTAGTTGTCATCGTTGACCGTACAACGTCACCGACCACACTACGGGATAAAACAGTGTTGAATGTAGCCTTGGATGAGGTAAATATGAATCAGTGAAACAAACTTCTTTGATCATTGTCTGCCCACTGATCTATACGCTGAAACAACTTGTCGGAGGTTTATACAGAAGTAAACTGGTGATGCTAAAAGTACTTACTATCTTTGAATTTTAAGTTCTTCATGGCAGTCGTGTGCATGCTATGTCTTTTCGCCCTGTTTGACCGCCATATGGCTGGAATATCGCTGAGTGCGGCGTAACACAACAAACAAAATCGTTCTGTTAGCATGTTTTACAAGATGCTTGATCGTTACTGTATTGTTACAAATGTGAAACATATATGTTTTAAATGAAAACAAAACATAAATTAAGATACATAATAATTTGAACATAATGAAATATCAAGATCAAGCCTATCCATATATTCCACAGAATGAACAAATTGAACAGTTTGTAGACTGCAGGTAGCAAAATACAAAGTAATACAAACTGTGCCACAAAATCATGCAGTCGTTAAAGTCTTTAAAATATTATTTTACATGATTTATAAAGGATTTAATGTGTTATTCATGTGCTTTATTGTCCACAGGCTTACAGAGAAACACTGGTGGAATTACTGAATCTGGAGCAATCGAAAGGTACACGTTATAGCAGATCCGTAATCTAGCTAGCATAACAAGTGCCCGGTCGAAAATCCATTTAATAAATCAAGGGCTTTACTGCACATTATGTTCAGGTACTCGTAGTAAACGTATACTTGAATATATATCAGTCATACTAAATTTGATGTTTTGGTATCCTATAATCAGTACCTCTATTCCCGCCATTAGAATGTAACATGAAGTTAGCCATATCATAGCATAGCGCAGCGCAGCGTAGCCTAGCCTAGCCTACCATAGCCTAGCATAGCATAGCCTAGCATAGCACAGATGGCCCTTAGAGTATAGTGTTGGTATTGGCATACAATCTGCGATACGATACATCACGATACTAAAATGTTCGTCACGACGATATATTGCCAAAATATTGTGCACTGAAGCTGAGGTACGATACGAATTCCGATATAAGGGTGGCGATACGATACGTATCACGATACTAAAATCTTAAATTCTAACACCAACTATAAAACACCTCAACATCAAAACAAAACAAAAGTATTTCGTCAAATTCCGCCAGCGTTTTTCAACGTTCACTCGGAAACGAGATAATTAAAGTTATACACGGAATTTGTGAATTTGGATAACATGCGAGCGCTCTGTCTGACACAATTCTTGACACATGAATTTCCGAGAAAACATTAAATTTTACCTTTGAAGGGAAAATAAGTCAGCATATATTTTAATCATCAGACAAAGTAAGTCTGTTTTCTTGACAGATATCGCGATTCGGCAATATACAAAGTTAAACATCGATGTATCGTGGCCCATTTGAAGTATCTTATCGGGATATACGACAATGTAAAACTTTGTATCAATTCACTGTATCGGCGGCGAATGGACCGATGCATCGATGCGTATCGATGAATCGTCACACCACTATTAGAGTCGCTATAGTCTGCATGTCAACCACATTGATAGAATGCCTTCTGTTAGTCTTTCCAGAGAATGACGACGATGATCCACCAAATCTTCAATTTCTCGATCTACTGAAGCCAGTGGCACACTTTTCGGGGCTGGATTTGAATACCAGACAATCACGATTGTTTTTCGAAAAAGAAGCATCGGGTTTGTACTCATACCTTGTTCATTCCACGTGTTTATAACAATGAATAGACAAGGCCTTTCACAATGTGTCAAATTTGACATTTCTTTGGATGTCACTTTCTTTCAAGCCTATGCTCTCAGAGTAACTTAGACATTTTTATAGCCAGCAAACAAAGTCAGTGACGTAGCCCTAACGCTAAGAGTGCTTTGTCACTCACATGTGTGCCTTATGATGAGAGTGGGGTTCGAATTTCAGATGGGACACGACCCAGAAACGCACTAGAATAGTTATTTTTCTATGAAAGTGTAATCCTATTTAATCATCGTCAGTAAGTAGTCACACGGGATAAACCATGATTATAACAATAGCATATGCATTATTCCTTTAAAGAAGTAGTTGATATATTTACACTATGTTGCTATTGCTCTTACGCTTCATCACTGAACACTGATTTTTTTTCATGTATATCAGGTGAAGAAGGTCTCCTCGCGGCAGTGCGAAATTGGGCTACTCTTAATGATCCCAACAAAACGCTCCTGTACAATGGAATGCGTTACGAGAACGGCTCCATCACAGTACCAGCACCAGGAGTGTACCACATCACAAGTCACGTCAAGTTCTACATCGAGGACAACAGGAAGGATGACAAGCCGCTCCAGACATTCCGGCACCAGGTTGTCCGCTATAGCGCCTCCAGCCAGACACATGTCGTGTTGTTTGAGAATGCCGTGACTGAGTGTAAAGAGGGTATCAACGACGGGGCTCACCTGGAGTACCCGAGTGATGCTGGTGGACTGGCTCAGTTGGATGCTGGAGATAATATCATAGTTAAGTTGTCTCATCTCCATCCCCCTGAAACACGGGAGAGTCTGGCATTTTCTAGACATGTATATTATTTAACATGCGTATAACCTGTATCTTAGAATGGTGAGTGATTATACACATTTAAACACAATTTCTACACGGTTTTTTGTTTTGTTCACTGAAAGTGCAACATTCACTGGCAGTACAACATTCAGTGTTTTGTTTGATGGATTGTTTGTTGTTCAGTGCCGCACTCAGCAGTGTTTTAACTATGTTACAGCCTGTAAATAATCTAGGCCTACAATTTAGACACTCTAGCTCTTAGCGCTAAGATAGTCGTAAGTGCCATACATTAACATGAACTTAGGCCCAAGCCTTTACGAAACAATCCAGTGATTAACGACATGAGCGTCGAGGTATGGGATACGATGACATGTGTCAACCAAGTCACAGAGTCTGACCACCCGATCCCGTTAATCGCCTTGACAAACATGGGTTGCCGAAGACCATTTTCTAACCTCCTTATCTTCACGGATCGTACAGGATGTACACGTGCGTTACCATCAACTAAGACAACTGATCACCCTTACTTACTGTTTGTGTACGTTGGTAGTACTGACAAAATTAATGAAGATACATTCAAATGTAAATCAGGTCGAACAGTTGGAATACAATGCTTGAAATAATTATGAATAAAATTGATAAACAGACATTAGGGATGTTTGTTACAATATCCATGTCAAACCATGTCATTGAACTTTAATTGTGGATGTACACAGACACAGACACAGACACAGACACACACACACACACACACACACACACACACACAGATATATATGTATCGAAATGTCACAATCACGAAATAAAGAAGTTGTTATCCATAGAAAATTGTTCTATATTCTGAATATTTTACTGTCTGTAGGCATCGGAATGAACAACATAGCACTAATAGGCAATGTACCGAATCGTCTATATGCACGACGTCGTGTATATTGCACCTTAAACACCTCATACTGACAAGAGAACTTGTCTGATATTATGAAATATTTACTGTTAGGGGTAAAAACATCTACCAGACCACCAGACAGGCTACTTTTGAAATTTGACCGTCCGAGATGAAAATAGACCGTTCCGGACGGGCGGGCAGGCGACGATTTCAAACGCTGCATATACGCGCGTGTGTGTGTGTGTGTGTGTTTGCGTGTGTGCAAGAAGAGACGAGATATTTCTTGTCAAAACTCCTTTATCACGTAGCATTAAGGAAAAGGTATCGTGATCAATGAGTTTTCACAATTAGAAATATCTGGACTCATCTTTTCTGTACTTATTGTTGATACAGCTTTAATCCAACTGACAACAAACACAATATTTACAGAACTGATGTGCATTGACGTTATAAAACTACCCATGCGTTTGTTTACAAACAGGAGCCATATACCTGTCACGTGATATGCAAATTTCACGTGTACAGAGGGAAAAACTAGGTCATGACTCGACGTGACACAGGCCAGGTGACATGCTATTCATAGTGTAGCTTTAATGTTTAACAGTATATAAACATGAACTCCGAAGGAACTCCTTCAATGGCCGTCTTGATGTGGAAGGAGAACTGTCTTCATGCGTCCTCAGTGTAATACATCTTGAACATTGCTGTTGGTATTATTGCCGGCGTTACCGCCGTTCACAGTGCAACACTTGAATGATAATCAAAAACAGGCTCAATGATCGTGACAAAATCACTAAATCTTACACTGAAAAAAGTCATTTTGTTTATCTTATGTCGCCAAATTGGTACCAACACTATGCACTCTCATGTCCTGAATACAGGTTACAATGAGTGGATCATGTTTTCAATTATCATTTCATGTAAATAAAACGCACATAGATCCATGTAATATTTACGACTGATTACAGAGAATAGGAAGTGTAACGGGTTGGGGGTGGGGAACGTGGTAGTCAGGATATATTTTATATCCCATCCCAACCGTCAGTTTTGAAGATATATGTAAAAACGGATTAAAAGAAAATTCTAACAAATAAATAAAGTCAGTGAATCTTAGTCGCTGTTGTTGTTATTTATTTTACAGATGACAATAGCAATTCAAGGATAGGCAACTGCAAGAGTGAATAAAACTTTGCTAGTTTACCGACTTGTCCGTTATGACAGTTCAGAGCTAGTACTGTAGATCTATTATTCCTATAACTTCCAAATTTTCAATTTCACAAAAATAACTTCTGTGCGCAAAGGCAGAGCCAAGAATGCAGCACTGTAGTTATTAGTAATTCAAATATAAAACTCTAATAATGCAAAATTTCCTAAAAAAATATCTCGGCCCAAAAACACTACAACTTACGTTGAGTCTGTTGTCTCTCTAACTGCTTTAGAACGAGAGTATGCTATATGACGTCATCGTACTTCCGGTAATGCATGTAGCAGAAGACGCCGAACGTTAGATCGAGAAGAATGCGATCTAACATCCAATTAGAGACGTGACATTAAATTAAACGGATATAGTTTACCAGTTACCACCTCCAGGAACACGCCTGCGTAAGTACTTTTTTAAATATCCATTTATATTTTAGCAAATTTAATGTATAAACAATCTCTGAATCAACAACACATGTTTTGATGACGTAATCGCCTGGAGATCGCGGGACAATAGACCGATCCAGTCTGTCAATCAAAACTGGCGCATGCGTCAATTTTGGCCAATCAGCAGGCCGGGCGCGCTGTGTGGATTTGTCAGACTTATTTCCGGGGTCAAACGATGCATCCGAAGCGATGTGCTTCGAATTATGCCATTTACACTCGCTATATTTATTACATATTGCTGCGATTTGATGTGTACCTTAAGAAAACCATTACGGCCAAGACAACAAAAATGGAGGCGGATCAAGAAACGCGATAGGCCTAACGATCAGTTAAATGTCTGCACCATCGTTCAGGAAACCTACGTCTGCCTGCTGATGAGAATTTGCACGAATTTCCACACTTTTGCACATGTGCAAAATCATTACCAATTGATGACAACAAATAGCAGTTTAAGACTTTGCAAGTGTTATAAACACGGACAATTCTTGTAACTACAAAATTGTTTTTGCTTAACGTTTTTTAGTCACTACTAGGCATTGAGTTGGTACGCTCAAATGAGACAGGCGAGAAAGCCGTGACACGATGTAAACAAATCTTCATTTCGGTTAGGGTCAACCGAAATAGCAAAACTTGTTACATGAAAGAACAATGTGGCGGATATTGTCCCCTTTGCTCTTAGATAGTCTTCAATTTGTCACACATTGTAGGATGTTTTAAGTTTTATAAGCACAATCTGAAGGCCTACAGTATCTTGTTAACAGAGCAAAATATTCGAGGAGTAATATTTTTTATTCAAACGGAAATATTGTCAGTGTCAGCAGTTGCCTATCATGCAATATCCAAGTATCAAAATTAGTTCATATGAGTGCCTATAAAACCATGCTTTAAATATTTCAGATTTTTTATAAAGAGTTGCATGGGACTTTGAACTGAATTACCTTCCTCCATGTTGATCAATCACCTAAAACTATGTGAGAAGAATAGTGACTTTCTGGAGTATTGGACTGGAGTGAAATAAAGTGTATATCTTAATTACGAGAACATTATTTGAAGTTTTGTTACCACATAAATTATTCACATATAATGGTACATTTTAGGAGTAATATTACAACTCTAATTTTGATTAATTCACTGGAAATGATAGCAAGGTATGTTTTAAGAATCTTGCTGTTTTTAATAAACGTGGAAGGGTAATAAAATTAATAATAATCTAATCAATAATAAATAATTATTCAATTGATTGACATATCAGATTTTTTAGATTTTAAGGCAGAACTAGGCTGTTTACACCATACATATCATGGCAGGACAATCACTTGGTATTAACTTAGTTTCTTGGCTCCTGCTTTTAGATGTTTTTTTAAATACTACATTTACTAATAAGATAATTCTGAAAGTGATTGCTAGTATCATAACTCATTAAAGTTATTTCAACATCCAGAAAATTTGAAAAAGCAAAGGCTACGTTTTGGTCAAACCCTGGTCAGGCATTATCCAGTCCTGGAACAGAATAACTTACAAAAATCTCAGGTGACTTTTCATGTAACGGAATAAAGATTGAAACATATATTTAACCCATATTTGATGAAATTCTTCTGATAAATCATAAGTTTTTTAGGAGGTTACTAATATTTGAAGACTGAGCCAAAGCTAGTGTTTATTAAGATGGTGGATTTTGACAAATTGTTCAAGGTTTGTTGATGGTTATTTGCAAAATGAGCTTCATATTAAATTGCACACTGGTTTGTAGGAGGTGAACGCTTCAGGGCATTTTCATGTCTGTTTTCCTAAACCTTTGTTAGGACTTTTAACAAATTTTGAATCAACTTTATTATAATTGTTATGACACCAGTAAGTATCTCAGAAAAGGAAATAGATCAAAATCAGTGTTATGTCCTCTAGGGATATGGTCTCAGATCTAATAAAACAAAGATTATCATTGTTTAATTAAGAAGCAATAATGTCAATATGTAATTGTATTGACAGAAGGCTTTGAACATAGGATATATTCTTTGCACCTTATTTACACTAGTAGTTAGCAGTTAAACATCTCTGATGAAAAAACAATAGATCTACATTTGTATTTTGTGTAACATTCTATTTCAATGCTAGTTAATTGTTCGGATAACTGTGTATTCTCTGTTCCAAAATTTTGCATCACATGTTTCCTATTTCTGGAAGATGGGTCAGCTAGTGTACAGGTGCAGACAGTATCTTGGATCTTCTTTGTGTTCTGGTGCTGTGACAAACCTGTACATAAACGCTGGCAGTTCATGAAGTCCAGTATTGTGGAAGTTTGTATGTAAATTAGGATTCCACAACAAAGTACATATAGAAAAATTAAATGTAAATGATGATTAAAAAAAATGATTTCCTTTATATTCAGTGTCATTTTATCATGGTGTACAGATTTTGAAGAGAGAAACTTTACTGGAGAATTGCTGCAGATCAGCTGTTGAATATTTGCTTCTGGGTATGTCCAGATACGTCCATGGAAACATATTGTTTACAAGCCCAATTACCTTTCCAGATTTCCAAATAAGATCAAATAGGTTATGCTGTGATTGATTTGTTTACATTAATTGTACAGACAAATAAGGTGCATGAAGTAGTAGACGGAAATATTTTCTGCTTTTTTATTTACCATTCTCTTAATTCATTAAAAGATAGAAACCCATGTTTTCAGATTATTGAACTAAATTTGAACAACGCATAGCGGATAAGTAAGGCTTCAAGCCCGCAGCGCAGTGTTGATAATCTTTTATAGATACCAAAACGCGATCTGCAACATGAACATGTGGTTGTGTTCACGAGTTTTAAAACTTATAAACACAAACAACAAAATTCAGTTATCCTTGCCCTGCTAATATCTGTGGCGGAGGTGAATTGCCAGATAGATTAATTGATTCGAAAGAAATTACGCTTCCTACAGTCTCAGCAGCTAGCTCATTGACGCTTTTTCATCGGGCATGTAACTCATTTTCACTCGCCAGTTGTAATCTGCCAGCTAAAATATATTAAAAATCACATACGTATAACTTGCCTCTTTAAATAACATTCACAAACGACTGATAATAAAGTATCACAAGCAGAATTCACCAACAACGTTCGCAATCACGTAACGTTTCTCCGGCGGTGACGCCATTGTGATTTGCCAGTGGTTGTCCCCCCTAACGTCAAAAACGCAGTGGGCGGGGCTTATCGGCTGGGACTGGATCGGTCTATTCGAGCATATCTCTGGAGCGAATCATAACCATTAAATCTTACGACAAAAAACAATAATATGAACTTGTAACTACAATATACATTGTTTTTACACACAATACATGTATGTAATAAGATGTAATCATGTTTTGAGAAGTTAACAAACATGGATACACCCGAACCGGCCCGTGGATATTTAACCCAAACCGGCCCGTAGATATTTAACCTAAACCGGCCCCTGGATATTTAACCCAAACCGGCCCCGCACCCGAACCGGCCCCTGGGTTAATTAACGGTAATCAGACAGACAATTAATCAGATATTATTAGATATTATCAGATATAATTTATTATATATATATACAGACATGAAGATTTCAATTAATGTATTATATATATACAGACATGAAGATTTCAGTTAATTTATTATATATATACAGACATGAAGATTTCCTTTTCCTTATTGTGCCATCCTGAAGCTACTTCTTAGTTATGAGAGATGTTATTAGAATAAGGGTCTGGGATGGAGTCTTGATGCCCTGTGAATATTCTGTCCAGATGTCTTGTATCTGCTGGTTAAATGCCCTGGATCCGGTTGTATCATTGCTTCATTAACTAATGTCAACCTTAAAGCCTAATGATACATTAAATCCTTAATGCATCATTAGTTAATGGCAACGTTAAAAACGGTTGTATGAAACACTTATTAGCGTATCATTATCTAATGACGTCCTAATGTAAATATTTTCATTAAATTTGGGTATTCCCCTAAACATTTCCCACAATTCCGCGACGTAAAACACAAAAGTGTTACTCTCGGTCGTCTGTCAAAATGGCATCTTTACGGCTAAACCTCGGAACAAAAACAAACATTTCGACTGCTGAGAAGAAACACAAATAATTCTGAAACGTCGCCGATAAACCTAGAATCGGTTGGGATGTTTTGGAAAATACACGAACACTAAGCAACTGAAGTGAGCTTTCTGCCATATTGGATAGGGTTTACAAAATCAGGTTTCGCTAAGGCCGGTCATATTACATCACTTATATTTCCTATTCAGTTGTGACAAATGCATCGCTGAATTCCTCATACATTTTAGAATCAACTTACAAATGGTCTTTGTCACTAAAACCAAGAGTCTAGAAAAACCCGAAACATATTGGGTCGAAAGCGGAGCGTTGTGCTCATACCACAGCTTGCTAGAAATGTAAACAAAAGCAAAATCAGATTTTATACTGGGCAACATTTTCTCAAGTTTTTGGATATCAGTTTGTCTATTCGTAGCATGCATTAGCTCAATACTTTTAGAATATGCACGTAAAGAGTATTGTAGCAAGAATTAGAAAATTTAAAACAGATACAATACAAAAAATTGATATATTCATGTGCAGCGATATGCCATGCCAGACGCAAAATCATGGAGAACGACAGGCAATTATCGGCATTTCTGACTTTTTCAATGAAAACAATAAAAACAAATAACCATACGCAGATAGTCAGAATGTTTTCGATTACTTACATCATACATTTCCTCGCAAAATCGTGGGCACATATATCCACAAAGCCGACATTTTATGAGAAATCGGTCATCGGTAGTGATGTCATATGTCAACATTGTTGGCAATTTCTTTGAGGTGAAGATCGGTTGAATAAGAATAAACACACTGTCCTCCTGATTACACTTTCACGTGTTTCAGTATTATGTATACTTTGCGTATCGTTCACATATGGTTTCATGAAACTAGTTTCACTATCAACATTTAGTATTTTAAACCTAAGTAAATCTGACATAATAAATAAAAATTGTTTATTTATTTCATGAAATTTATATATGCACATGTTTTTAAAGGATATGTCTTGTGCATTGAAATTGTTTATGTTGTGGTATAGACAAAACAATGGCGTATAATCATTGGCCAGGTGCGCGTTTGTCACAAATACTTTGAGTATAATTGTTATCAATAATTCCATGAACAAAACATCACGAACATGTAGTGTCCTTATTCACAGAAATTCTCTCCAAGTGATCTGACTCACAATGACTTAGTATTAAGCATAGCGGAGTGATGCCCCCTTATCTTTATAAGCGTACATGACCTTTTTGTAGCCATTTGACGTCATAGCAAAAAAACATTTTCAACACATATTGCGAGTCATTTTTAAGATTGAGTGTATAACGTTAAACATAGGCACACAAACTAATTTAATACATACCTATGTTGTTCAGGTATCAGGCAGAATTTTGTTCGCTCACACTTTCCGTAAAGATGCCAAATTGAAAATATAGTAGCACAGTACTTTTATCAGTACAGGATAAAAAGCAGAGAAATTTACTGTTTTTAACGCACAACAAAATTAGGGGTAACATTTAGCAGTGTCTATTTTCCAAACTGAGTTTATACCATGAAATAGGACATTTAATACTCTACATTTCTGTGTAATTTCATAGCTGTAGGTAGATCCAGTGCTGTGCAAACGAAATTCTGGCGCAATGTTCACTTTTCCAGGAAGTTAATGACGCTCTAATGATACCCCATGACCTTCATTAAGTTAATGACGTGCTAATGACAACATGTCATTAAATCCATAGTACAACAGAATTTAATGACACATTACTTAATAAACGTTTAATGGCTCCTTAATGCTTCATTAAAGTTTGATACAACCGGGTCCAGGTCTTCCGCGATTGGTGGCGTGACAGTTGACCCCAGGCCAGCAACTGGGGTACCTGGGGTACATACAGGGCTTCTTTGTGAAGGAGGTTCACCAAAAGGAAGAACTGAAGGTTCCTTTTGCCGGCCGCCTGGTTGACCTTCTTGTGCCATCCTGAAACAGAGAAATAAAAAGATTAGACTCACATAACATCAGAAATTGTTATATGGCAAACTGTAAACGCAACTTAGTGTTAAAATTTTGAACAAAATTTATATGGGAACTTACCTTCACAATCGTTGTTGGTCCTCACTGTCATGCCATACACGGACCAGCTGGTGATTGGCCAAACAGTTGAACAAAGCCAGGTGTTCTCTGCATAGGTGAAAAGGGGGCACAGGCTCGTGTCTTCTGTTGTGGCTTTGATGGCGACAAACTGGTCAGGAATGTGGCGGTGATGCAAGTAAGGAAATGCTATCAGCTTCTTGATTGTCCTATAGGATTCCTGTCCTTTGTGGAATTCGTTCTGCAAATAAACAGAATATTTATGAATATATATGACATATGAACTACATGAGTTTGCTGATTATTGTCTCACTAGTAACACACTGGAATATACTTACATCAAGACCAAGGGCTTGCACTTTTCCGGATTGCCTGCTCCCAGTGAAATAAGCATCCTCTGATCTCGACCATGGGTAGTAGCCCTCGGACGGCCTGCCATACCCCGCGCTCGACACACAGTGACTCCAGCCCTCCCATTTCTTCTGCAAGCGTAGAGAACACCTGGAAAAGGATATTTATTTATTAATATATCTATAAATGACCAATTTTGTTTTAATTTAGTTAATGCGAAATTTAGAGTAGATTGTCATAGAAAATGTTCAAAAGCAACTTACCTTCCTGTAATCAATTTCTTGACGACGGGACATGAAAGCATATGCCGTTGGGACTTGTTTCAACTCTCCGTTTTCGCCTAGGATGAAGACATGAATGGTATATAGTTGTTTGAAAGGTTGTCTGACAACTCTGAAGGTCCTGGCCATATACCATGTTTTGGCTTTCTTCATCAATTGCAGTTGTTCCGTTGTAGCGGAATTGTTCTAGTATCGCAGAGATTGAAAAGTATTGTATAAGTCATAAAAATATGTAATAAATCAAAATAGTTACCTGTATTGCAAGTCCTGTGTTGCCATCGGTCACAAAAGTCACACTGCAGGCACTTTTGTCTTTCGCGGCATCTCAATGAGCAGTAAACGCAAGAATCGGACACGTTATCCATGAAGAACAAATTATGAATCATGTCCTTCAGATAATGTCTTTTATAAGATTATACGCAAGGTGAAGATAACAGTATACGGTGCAGTTAACGTTGAGTGAACGCAATCAGTGTCAAGTAAGAGCATACGCTTAAGACAACGTACATTAATTCGCTCACGATAATCCGTTCAAAGAAATATTAAAACAACATATTCACTTTAATCGCTCAGTGAGACTTGCGTAAAATAACAGTTTAATTTTAGAGCTGAAAGAATGTTTTAGTTTTCATAATGTTAGCAGAATTCACTCTGTGAAAGGTGGTTAATGTGTGTTGAAAATCTTGACAAATGTTCCACACATGGAAACATGCGAAAAGATGAAGGACGACATTATTTTTCGTTACTTGAAACTTGGGCATAACAAAGGTGAAACATGAATTCTTTATATTGGATTTATGTGCTATTCTTGTATTGAATTAATGTGTCAATTCTGTGGATACGATACAACGAAATGTAAGTACACGTTTTACTATAGTATTGTTTTGCAATTGATCTATTAGATTCTTAAAAGAATTACATAAAATGTCCTCTACCATGGGATCTCCGTGATCAGCACACTTGCATGTTCACTTGCCTCTCATCGACACTAATATTCGCTTATATATTTTCAAAAATTGATATTACATGTAAACACATATGAGTAATATGTTTTCGTCATTTATGTTAAAGGAACTTTAATTCATATGTCAATGTAGAAATATTTACTTCTCGGGGCCGGTTTGGGTCAAATATCAGGGGCCGGTTCGGGTTAAATATCAGGGGCCGGTTCGGGGGTAATTCACAAACATAAACACGATCTCGGAAGCGTGATAAAAATACAAAGTCCTCGATCGTTTACGACCTGACTATTACAATAGCCCCATTTTTTTAAAGAAGACTCGTCCCAAGTTAACATAGTTACATTAATACAGCTATATAATCCTATTTTTTCCTCTCTTGCAGTTTGCCCTTACAGTTACAAGGTGAGCATAAAAGACGAACCTTGTTTTGTTGCATAACAATACAATTCAAACAATACAATTATGCATTTCTGATAAATACATGTTACATAATATCATGTACATACATTAATAATTCCTTACCTTGTGTTAATTCTTATGCACATTTCATATACTTACACATATCCAGTGAATATGAATATATATCCAAGAAAATATAGATCACCTCTCATTTTAAATGTCACAATGAGGTAACCCAATACTGGTATGTTCCATGAACATATTGTCCATCATCAGTCTGTACTACACAGTTCTTCATCTTTCAAAAACACTCTTGTCCTGCAAACACAGTTCATTAGTCCTTGAATTGCTCCTGCTCAGTACTTTCCAGGTTATGGTGCCGTCGGTTTCCCACATGAATTGGAGACACAAGAACACATCTCCAGGAAATCAAAAGAGAAAAGATAAGAAGACGGAAAGAAATGTGATAAGAACATCAGAGAAAATGAAAAAAATTGAAATTCTCCACACTGAGACACAGTATGCACCCTGTGTCTCATTTATCCTATGCCCGTTGGCTGCCACTGCCCTGAGACATGCTTTTAATAAAAGCATCAGCTGCTCAACGCTGGTCCAACTGTTGCTGAAAACACCTCCCCTCAGCTGACTGCAGCACCGCCATCGCCTCCCAGCCTTTGGCGATGAATTCATCCAGCTGGGGCCTGTAAGTTGGGATGTCTTGGCAGGATGGCCACTGCGCCCCAGGCCGAGTAGCAAGGGCCTGTTGCAGGATAGTGTTGCGCTTCCGAAGAGCTGCAATTTCCATCTGCAGATCAGACACAGTTTCTTTTTTGTCCCCCGCCGCAGCGCGGAACGGGGGACTATGTATTCAGCAGCGTCCGTACGTCCCGATTCTTGTTAACGCGATATCTCATGAACTGTTGTACCCAATGTCTTCAAATTTGTTGTCAGCCTACATTGGGGGATTACACATACACCAGTTGATTTGCGTGATCTTGACCTTATTTTCAAGGTCACCACGACACTTTGACCACTTTTCCAACTCTTGTTCAGGCGATATCTCATGAACTGTTGTACCCAATGTCTTCAAATCTTGTGTCAGCCTACATTGGGGGATTATACATACACCAGTCGATTTGCGGGATCTTGACCTTATTTTCAAGGTCACCACGACACTTTGACCACTTTTCCAACTCTTGTTCAGGCGATATCTCATGAACTGTTGTACCCAATGTCTTCAAATATTGTGTCAGCCTACATTGGGGGATTACACATACACCAGTCGATTTACGTGATCTTGACCTTATTTTCAAGGTCACCACGACACTTTGACAACTTTACCATATCTTGTTCAGGCGATATCTCATGAACTGTTGTACCCAATGTCTTCAAATTTGTTGTCAGCCTTCATTGGGGGATTACGCAGACACCAGTCGATTTGCGTGACCTTGACCTTATTTTCAAGATCACCACGACACTTTGACCACTTTTCCAACTCTTGTTCGCGCGATATCTCATAAACTGTTGTACCCAATGTCTTCAAATCTTGTGTCAGCCTACATTGGGGGATTATACATACACCAGTCGATTTGCGTGATCTTGACCTTATTTTCAAGGTCACCACGACACTTTGACCACTTTTCCAACTCTTGCTCAGGCGATATCTCATGAACTGTTGTACCCAATGTCTTCAAATCTTGTGTCAGCCTACATTGGGGGATTATACATACACCAGTCGATTTGCGTGATCTTGACCTTATTTTCAAGGTCACCACGACACTTTGACCACTTTTCCAACTCTTGTTCACGCGATATCTCATGAACTGTTGTACCCAATGTCTTCAAATCTTGTGTCAGCCTACATTGGGGGATTATACATACACCAGTCGATTTGTGTGATCTTGACCTTATTTTCAAGGTCACCACGACACTTTGACCACTTTTCCAACTCTTGTTCAGGCGATATCTCATGAACTGTTGTACCCAATGTCTTCAAATATTGTGTCAGCCTACATTGGGGGATTACACATACACCAGTCGATTTGCGTGATCTTGACCTTATCTTCAAGGTCACCAGGACACTTTGACCACATTTCAAACTTATTTAAACACGATATCTCATATCAGTGGCAAACACTTGTTTTAGAAGTAGTTTTTTATTCATTCAAAGTCAGTAGATACAAGTATACAAAGTACATGATGCAACAACACTTGTACACCGTAGAACAGAAATTCATATGGGTTGGCATTACACATGTTGGGATCTTCATTAGGCTGGGAATGTGTGCAGTAGAGATGACCATTTTCTGTCAAATTGTAATATGTTTTGATTCTTACTGGCAATAAACTTTTCTGTCTTGAAAATATCACTCAATATTTTTACAAATGTATCCAGTGATAACTATTTTTTTTAATACTTGATATATGGATATATTTTTTACTGGCAAGAAGTATGTGATTCATAAGGTCGTTATTATTTCCACCAATTAAGACTGTATATTTTGTCAGGGTAAAATTTTCTGATGATTTATCTTCAATATATTCTTTCAGTTTCAGCCAGAACGTTTTCACACACTCACAGTCCCAATAAACATGTATCAAATTTTCATCATCTACTAATTTCATTCTCAATAATTTTCTTTGTGTAGACAATATTGTGGATAAATTTAAACTGGAAGTCAATCAATTTAGTATCTTTGTACATCTTCTATATTTTCTAAAAATATCTTGCCATGGAATTGCAATATCAAAGATATTTTGCCATTTTTCACATGTTGAAGGTAGGTTTTCAGTAGTTATAAGTTTATCATAGAAATATCTGGATCTCTTTGGTGCTGAAAGTAAATCTATCAGTGATGTGTTAAGATAATGATTATGAACAATCAATAAATTCTTTCTTATAGTTTCTTTCCATTTTTTGGGTATATTTGAAAGAACCTGATAATAGTCAAGAATTGTGCCTTTAATTTTGTAAGTTTTCTTAAGTTCACTAAATGGCAAAATACCTTGATCATTACACAAGTCTCTTATAGAGTGAATTCCTTTGAGATGCCAATGTCTTATAATGAAATTACTATTTTGGAATTGGTGATTGAACCAAAGGGGTTGGGATAAGATTTGATCAATATCTGTAAAATCAGTTTTATAGAATATTCCCCATGCAGCTAATACATCTTTCCAATAGGGATTCATAATACTGACATAATTTTCAATATTGGCTCCAAGCAGAAATATATCTTTAAATGGAAAGATACTAGGGCTAGAATTGCTATTATTTTGAAGATATTGATGTAAAACTGACAGTTTTAAAGAGTTTATGAATACCTGTACATTAACCATTCTGAGTCCCCCCTCTTCATATTTTCTAATAAGTGTCGTTCGCTTTATCTTATCCCGCTTATCATTCCAGATGAATTTATAAAATATATTGTTTAATTTGTCAATGAATTCCTTTGGAGGATTTGGGGAGTGAAGTGAATATATGCACCAATGATGAAAGTGCTAAAGTTTTAATAACAGTTATTTTCCTATTAATGTCAACTTTTTTCCTCCAATTCCCTAGAGTTCTATTAATAATTTCTAGTCTTTTTCTTGTATTAATTACCCAAAGGTTATTTAAATTAGGATTAAGTCTTATTCCTAGAATATCAAAATCCCCATTATGCCAACCAAACTTAAGGTCCTGGCATAAAATCATGCTATTACCTGCCATTGAGCCTATCCACACTGCTTTCGTTTTATCTATATTTATTCTTAAACCAGACATTTTGTAGAAATTATTGAGAGTGTCAGTTGCTGCCCTTAAACTTTCTTCACGCCCATCGAGAAATAATTCAGTATCATCTGCATACTGTCCAATTTTATGTTCTGTGGTATTCAATGTAATTCCTTTTATTGCAGTGTTGTTACGGATCATTATTCCTAATATTTCAGCCACTAAGATGAATATATAGGGAGAGACTGGGTCCCCTTGTCTACAGCCCCTTTCATTGTCAAAAAATTGTGATAAATGACCATTCTGTATAACTACGTGATGTAGCATTATTGATTAATATTTTGATCCATTTTTCCATATTGGGTCCAAAGTCAAGCTTTCCAATTGTTAAAATTATAAATTCTTTAGAGAGACAGTGTCAAAAGCTTTTCAAAGTCAATAAGTAACAAGAGTCCCTTTTTATCTTGTACTTTTGCTTCAAACATAATGTCGATATAATAATCTAATGTTCTCGCTAATACACCTTCCAGGTATAAAACCTGTCTGAGTTTCATGAATAAGAGTATTCAATGTTGTTTTAATTCTATTGGCTATACATGTGCTGAGTGTTTTATACAAAGAATTCAGTAGGAAATTGAAGCCAGTTTTTAACAACTGTCTGTTTTTGTTAGCTTTTGGAATGCAT